GGGAGGCCTACCCGCTGGGCACCCCCGAGGCCTCTGGGGTGAAAAGCGAGGAGCCCGAGTTGTTACGGAAGCTCCAGTCGACCTTCCAGACCCCTAACTCGCCGAAAGGGGAGGGGTTGCCCCCCGCCGGGCTGGCCTAGCCAGAGGCACCCATGTGTGGAGTGAAGTGAGGTCTGAGCTTGCTGGCCGGCTGGCGACGCTTTGCCAAGCGCAGGCGCCTCTTTCTGCTGGAGCACGGCCTCTCTGTTCCAGGGAGCGTGCATTGCTGAGCCCGATGGGGTGAGCCGGGGCAGTCCTGTCTTCTGTTGCAGGCGGGGCTGCTGGTGGGAGGAAGACGGTGAACTGTCACCTGCAGGAGGTTTTCAAAGAGAAGCGGGGTGGGGGAGTGCAGGGTGAGAGGATGTGCATAGAGGGGCGTTGGGAGAGGAGGGTGGGGACTGGGTGTGCGCCGGCCAGGGCCTTCCAGTGCCGTTGCTGCCATGAGGACTCCTGTCCAAACGAACGGTGTCATCCAAAGAGGTGAGCAAAGCTGCATTGTCATCATGAACACTAGCCCCACCCACAAGGGGTTCGGAAGGAAGAGGAGTGGGGCCGGGAGGCTGGAGGGGAGCAGGAATGTGGGGAAGCATCTGGGGTGCTGGTAGTGTGCACGGGGGACAATGCAGGAGAGGCACGCAGAGCGGAGACCCCAGCACACCGTTGAGTAGGGAGAGCCAAGCAGGTGCCCCAAGCTCCAGGGCTGATGGAAAACAGGACTTGGGGCTCCCAGGCCGATGTCTGTGGCCCTTTAAACAGTCAGCTCTGAAGCACAAGTGTCAGGACAGAGGCCTAAAGCCCAGGCGTCTAATCGCGTTCCCCACACGGATTCCTCCGCTTCAGTGTCGTTTCCATCTGCCCAGGAGCACCAGCCCTGGGTGTGTGTGTGTGTGTCCATGTTTAAAATGCCAGGGTCTCCATGACAGCTGTGTGCCAAGACCCTGAGGCTAGGGTCACGTGACTATTGGCAGTGTCCCCCACGCCCACCCCGGCCTCTGCCTCCGCCCCTTGCCGCACCCACAAGGGAATGTCTAATTCTCAGATGCAACAAAACAAAACAGATGCATTCTCTGGCATCTCTCAGTCTCTATAACGGAGAGAGGAGGTGGCCCTGGGCTCCCCTCGCCTCCTTTGTTCTCCTGCACGGCTCGGCCAGATCGCCCACCTCAGCCACCTGGAGCGTGAGAGTGGGCCCGTGGGCCACATGTCGCCCAGGGTGCTGACCGCCACCTTCCGTCCTGTCCTGGAAGGCTCAGCGCCCCTGCAGCTCTGCCAGGCATGTTGAGCCCCTGCCCTGGCAGTCATACCAAGGACCAGAAGAGCTTATTCCTGCTCCAGGGACCTGCCCACTTTAACAGACATGCTAGCCCTTCAGGTGGCCTGGTCGATGGCTGGGGCCAGCTCTCACGTCCCTGGGATTTGAGTCCCTCACACACAAGGGGACAGGTGGGCTCAAGTCTGGGGAGGGACTAGGGATGGGGAGATGGAAGCTGGTGCCAGTAGAACAATTGTGGAATCTGCTAAAGGCAGGGCCAGGAAGAACATCTTCGATCTTTCTCCCCCCATCCCTACCCCTCTATTTGCCAAGGATGCCCAACGGCAGATAGCCCGAGTGGGATTGCCCTAGGGAAGTGGGGTCCCAGGGCTACACTTGGCTTTGACTGGGCAGCACCTGCCCCAGCTCCTTATGGAGGGTTCTCTTCCCCTTCCTGAAGGTCTGAAGGTGGCTGAAATGGCCACACAACCAAGAAAAGCCCGCCCGCCCCAGCCCGGGATCCTACTGGGGCCACGGCACTGGCTGAGTCCTCCATGCCTCCTCATTCCATATTTTGACCTTAAACACCAGTGTTCCCACCAGGATGGACTGGGGAGAGCTGAGGGCGATTCTGTTTACTATCAAGAGTTGTGTTTTCGTATCGTCCTCTCTTTTATGCCAAGTATGTGTGTGTTGGGCTGCGCAATTGATTTATGTAGCAAATGTGAGTCTGCAAATAAAACAGAATAACCAGCCCCAGCTGGCGTGTGCTGCAGTCCTTGTGGGGAAGGGGGGTCTCCTAACACCAGGAGGGTCTAGAGGGGCCTTGAAACACCCAGTGGAGTTGGGAAGGTCGAGGGATTGACTTGCTCACAGGGAACATGAACAAGGCAATTGGGGGAGTTGCCCTTGATCACCCCGCAGTGTCCAGGGAGGATGGAGCCCTCAAGTGAAGTAGGTCTTCTCTCCCTGCTCTTGAGATCCATGTCTTCGGCCCTTCAGCACTTGTTGCAAATCCACTCTGGGACTTACCCTTTGCGGACAGAGCCCAGCCCTGCGGTTTGGAGAATATCACTCCTCTGTCTTTGGACACCTGACCCCTGCTGAGAGCTGCTCCCCACGGAGAGGAGGGCTGATCAGATCGGCCGCCCCGCACTGGGGAAGGTTACAAAGCAGAAAGGCCTGTTGGAGTCATCTCGCCGGCTGTCCTCCTCCGCTCCGGGTGTGGTGGGGAAGCCACATCTGTTGGCCAGGCCAGAGCATCGTCTCCGTGGGGGCCGGCTCCGTGTTTATTACCGAGGATTAACTCATCCCATTAACATGTACATTCAGTTTTAGTCACTTAATCCCTCTCGGGGTCAGATTCCCGGAGTCCTGAAGTGTTTTGGAAGAGTCAATCCTCCTTCCAAACAGACAGAGAACATGGATTCCTTTCTCTCCTGAGAGAATGGGCGGAGGGAAAGGTCCAGCTGGTATGGACTGGAGGTGGCAGAAGCCATCCACTTCCTGTTTCACCAGATGCTGAGCAAGGGGAGGCTCATCTTCCTGTTTACACACAGTGGTCTGCAGGGTGGCCAGACAAGGGTGGGAGACGTTTCCAGCACAGAATACACCCCCATCTGCTGCTGTCCTCTGACCGGTACAACCCAGGGAGAGCCAGAATCGGGCCATCTTGGGTCAGAAAAAACTGCTTCGGACCAACAGCTGTAGCTGGTGGTCCCGCAGTCTCCAGGACCTCATCTGGCCAGACAGCGGTCTTTGGCGGCCATCTCCTGGGGGTCACAATGGTGCCCAGTGCTCTGGGGAAATGGTGGGACTTCAAGTCCATTTGCTTCAACTCAACAGAAGGACCCTTTGAGATTAGACATTAATATCAGTGCTGGGATGTACCGATGAATTATCCCATGTATGTCCCCCAAAATGATGGTCCAATTTTTCAACAAATACCACCCATGACACTAATCTGCTACTACCCAAGGCAAGTCACTCCAAGGTTGGGAAGAAAATCTGATGAGGCAAAGTGGAACCACTTTCCCCACTGGCCTTAGTTCTGGCCTCTGGAGCCATGTGACTCTACAGGCAGTGTGTTAAGCCAAGCGTGCGTTAGACAAGGCTGGATTAATAGCAGCACTTACCTGCCAAACCACGGTGCCTTAAAACAAAAGTGTATCCCCGGTTCCTGCGAAGTCATGAGCGGCTGCTTCCTGGCAGTGTATTCCCGAGTGATGGTAGTGATTCAGGTTATATCAAGAGGTTCCAGGGTCTTTGGGGAATTGGGGGTGGGGGTGGGGTATTCCCTTTCATCCACACAGGTAGGGGAAGATGCACAAATAAGATCTCACAGGGTTGATGGCCAAGTCTGGAAGTGGTTGATATCTCTGCTACTCACATTCCATTGGCCAGATCCCAGTCACAGGGCCCCAACCTAACTGCAAAGGAGGCTGGGAAATGTAGTTTTCCTATGTATGCAGGAAGAGAAAGTGGAATTGGTGAGCATCCTGTTAGTCTCTGACAGACAGCTCTTCAAACCACTTCCACTTAATAGCGGTTAAACACTTACCTTCCTATAAAACCCACTTCTTCAAAGGTGATGCTTGGATTGGAAGTGGGACTAAGTCTGTCTGACCTGCTCCAAGGAGAAGGGGACCATTTATCTACCTCACTGTGCTTCTATGGATGCACTGTTTTGGGGGGCTAGGACATCACATTGCTGACAGAGATCGAGTTTATGTGAACTGCAGTTAAGCCACATCTTCTCCATCCTGCCCAGAGCTGTGGTTTTTTGAATCTGAGAGTTTGACCTCATTGTGGAGCCAATGGGGCCCACATGGAATGGGTAGAAAGTAGAAGAACGCCAGGGGCTGGACGAGGTAGGGCTGGTGGTCAGCAGGGCCTGTGCAAGGAGAGGCAGGGAACGGCCTGGCCCAGCTGAGTGAGGTCCACTTGGCCAGGGGACAGGCAGGGGGCTAAGGAGTCCTGACCCCCTTAGCCGGTTTGCTTGCCTTCAAGCCCCACCAGCAGGGGTGTGGGGCATGGGCACCTTAATGTGCCTGCCCTTGAACACCCACAGAGCATCCCAGACACTGTCTACCTGGATCCCCCAAACCCCACATTCCTTGAAATGCCCAGGGATGCTCACATGCCCCTGAGACTATCTTGGTGGAGACCCCAGCCCATCTCCACCCCCACCATGCAAGGACAAGGTCACCTCTTGTCCCCCGGTAACCAGCTTCTCCAGGTTACAGCCACGCCACTCCACACGTGGACACAGCCCCTTCCCCAAAGCACAGCCAAGACCAGGACAAACCTGAACAGAACTTTACTGAAGGCCTGAGCAGGAATCATATTGTGGAAAAGCATCAAAACTGGATCCTAGAACTCAGGGCGCCAGTGGTCCCTGGGCAGCCCCTGCTACGGCGCCTTCTCCTGACTTCCCTTACACCGTGGCCCCTGCTGCAGGGCCTTGGGCCTGCCTCTCCCTGCAGAGGGGCCTTGAGACGCCTCACTCCAGAGCTAGGACCCCTACTCTCTGGCTTCTCTGGGCTCCACCGGGTCTGAGCCTTTTCCCCAAACAGCTTAATCATCTCCCCATAAACTTCTGCCCACAGCAAAGACAACCCGTTCCACAGCCACGCCTCAGACGTCCCCGCGCTGGCACAGAACTCCATTCCTATTACAAAACCAGAGGCACGTTCGTGTCTCCCCCACATGAGTCAGAGAGTGCCGGCAGCTTTACCGGTGACGTTTCTCTCTTCTAGCCACCAAGGTTTCAAAAATGCAGGGTGCAATCCTATCAAAATCCCCTGTGACATGGAGCTCTGCAGTCTCAAATCAGGGGCAAAAACTGTCATTGGAGGAGAGCTGGCCAGGGAAGCTTACCACTGGGGGGGGCGGGGGGGGGCGGTCCCGGGAGCTGTGTGGTAAGTTGCAGGTGGAGGGACTGTGAGCTCATTACAATGGGCGCACCGGCCCTGATGCCACACCAGCAGGAGCACAGACTGCACATGGGGACTCCCTGCCAGAATGACAAAGGGAGGTCTGGACCATCCTCCCCCCATCTCAGCTATGTCTGGCCAGGGGCTCCGCCACGCCCCTGTGGGGGGAGCACAGGAGTGAACCCCAGATCACTTACTATACACTTGGGGCTCACTGCTGAGTGTACAACTAGGGGTAGTTTCTACAGCATGTGTTCCATGGTTTCCAATCAATGCCCCATAAAGAAGCAAGCTAGACGTGTTCAAGAAAATAAGAATTTATATTAGTTCACACAAACACTCCATCCATGCTTTTGTTCCGGCCCTCCGGTCCAGTTTAAGAACCCATTGTGGCCCTCGAGTCAAAAAGTTTGCCCACCCCTGAACTAGACCGTCAAACCTCAGAGGGAAGGCAGGGCAGGCGGGTAAGAGACCAACCAAAGGGCTTGTATGCATGCCTATCAGTGTAACCAATGGACACAGACTGTAGCGGGGTGAGGGCATGTGCTGGGGGTGGGAGCAGCCGGGGAGAGGTCAATGGGGGGGGAAAAGGAAGACATATGTAATACTTTCAACAATAAAGAATTTAAATTAAAAAAAAGAAGAACAAACTAAGCAGGCTCAGTTAGCATCTGGGGCCCTAGCCGCCCCCTCCCCACCCCCGTCTGGATGAGCCAGCACAAGACACTGCTGGGCTGGTCCAACAGGTATGTGTAAAGGGATGTGGTCAGTGACTCCGTTTCTGGTTTTGTCCGGAAATGTGCAGTGGGAGATTGTGAAGGAGATGAGGAGAAGCTGGCTAGAGTTGTCTGGGAGGCCTCTGTGAGCGACTTAGGTCCTAGAGAGTCTGACCTGCCCCGGCTCCAGGAGTGTGGCTGCCCGCCTCCCCCCTGGGCAGGGAGGGCAAAGCATCCGGCTCCAGGCAGGGCATTGGGGGTGGGGGGGATAAGATGAGGAGGAGGTGGAGGAGGAGGAGGCTCCCAGGTGGGGACTCAGGAGGTGAGGCGGGGAGGAAGCGATGGTGTGAAATGTTAAGGTGGGGGGATCTTTTGCCTAAGTAAACAAAGTGCTGTTTGAAAAGAGAGCATTGCAAAGGTATATTTTCTTGGCTGTGGTAGTGAGTAAACCTTGAGTAAAGTCCCAGAGTTTCATAGATACGCACGTCACATTTGTGCATTTTACTGTTTCACAGTTAGCATGGGGGCTTGCTCACGGCTCTTGGTCTGCCTGGTACTTTATTGCTTACGGTGTGGCCTCCAGAGCACACCACGTGGGTGGCCTGAGAGGCTAAGGTGAAGGAGGGTTGAAAGCAATGCCTCCGGCACCTGACAAACAGAAACAAACACTGGGAGGCCCAGAGGAAGGGTCCGAGGCCCACCTGCCCTATGCCCTCCCGGAGGTGGCATGCAGAGTCCCAGGCCAGCTCCCGGGCTGGTGCTCATTTGCAAGGCCGGTTCAGAGGCCCTCAGGGACTCCTCCCCGGGTCGGACGTGGCCGTCTGTCACGTACTCGCCACCGGTGTGCTGGGTGTGGTCACTGGCGCCCCATGGTGACGTCCAGCAGCTTCTGGATCATCTGGGCGTGGGTGCCGTGGAAGGGCAGCCCGTCCACCTCCATGCCCACGTTGCCCGAGACGCCGCTCCGGACTCGGTGCTGCACCAGGATGCTCAACATTTTTTCTTCCTGAGACAAAAGGAGGCAGAGAAAGAATTAGCGAATGGGGGAGGGGAAAGACACACAGACAAGCAGGTAAGTGGAGGCAGGGCGTTGGACGTGACATGGCCTCTTCTTCATGACGACGTGTGGATTAAAAATACGAATGCCACTGGGAGACTCCTCATGAAAAACGATCCTAATTAGAAAGGATATGTGCACCCCTATGTTCATAGCAGCACAATTCACCATAGCTAAGATCTGGAAACAGCCTAAGTGCCCATCAGCAAATGAGTGGATTAGAAAACTGTGGTACATCTACACGATGGAATACTATGCTGCTGTAAAAAAGAAGGAATTCTTTCCATTTGCAACAGCATGGATGGAACTGGAGAGCATTATGCTAAGTGAAATAAGCCAGTCAGAGAAAGATAAATATCACATGATCTCACTCATTTGTGGATTATAATGAACAACATAAACTGATGAACAAAAACATATCCAGAGACAGAGAAGCATCGATCAGACTGTTAAACCTCAGAGGGAAGGTAGGGGAGGGGGGAGGTAAGGCGGAGAGATCAACCAAAGGACTTGTATGCATGCATATAGGCCTAACCAATGGACACAGACAACAGGGGGATGAGGGCATGAGTGGGGGGGATGGGGGGAATGTGGGGATAAGGACACATATGTAATAACTTAATCAATAAAGAAATTTAAAAAAAAGAAAAAAGAAAAACAATCCTGCATCCTGCTTCGTCGGGCTCCAAACCCACTCGCCAGAAGCGGCCACAGTTTGGGCTGTTTCTTCTGCATATTCTTTCCATAATATGCTTTTTCTGGAAACCTGCATTTTCTTAACAAACACTAAGGAGTCCCTCCTGCGGCAGGGGCAGCGTGGGCTGCTTTCCGCCTACCTCGCCCCTGCCCAGCTCTGCACTACCTGCCGCTGGCCTCTGTGCCAGGGAGGCCCCCATTCCTCCCGAGACCCCGCTGTTAGCCTCCTGCTGCTGTGGCCTTGCCCATCGATATTCCTTGCTGTGCATGTGGAAGCTTCTGGAGCGAGCAGAGCCATCGAGGAACTGCAGGCCCCTCCTCACGCTGCAGCCCAGGGCCCAGCAGGCAGCATGGTTGGGGATCAGACAGATCTGACTTGGGTCCTTCCTGGCAGGTGTTTCAACCTCTCTGTGCCTCAGTGTCCTCATCTGTATAATGGGAGCGGCGGGGGGCACGTTTGAGCTGTCTAAAGTGATGTGCTTCCCCTCCTTCTCTTTCCTGCTACTTGTCTAAGCCACCAATGTATCTGTCCGGGCTGAGTAACTCCTCTCCCAGAGGAAGGTAGATCTCAGATAAAAACAAAAGGAGAGAGGACAGGGCCTGCGGGGAAGAAGTCAAACATGTTCTCCCCCAACCCCCTTCTCTCCACAAAGTAAGGAGGGGTGAGAGGACAGGACCAAGAAATCAAGACCAGGAAGATGTGACAGCTTCCTGCTCAGGCATTGCTAATTCACTCAGTCACCCACCCAAGTTTGATGGGAGCACCTGCTCCGTGCCAGGCTCTGAACTGGTGATACAGTGGTGGATGTGGCACGGTGCCTGCCCCCGGGGCTCACAGCCTAGATGTGTGCTCAGGCAGTACAGGTGGGGGGAGGGTGTCACAGGACAGGGCAGGGCACCTAACCCTGTTTACTGGGGTGGCTCAGGCAGACTTTCAGGAGGAGGGCCAGCCAGGTCAGAGCAGAAGTGGGCCCAGCAAGGGGCTACGAGGAGCACTCACTGAAAACTTTAAAACAATGGCAAGAGTGCTGGCAAATGTCACCGGGAACTGTCTCTGCTCTCAGCTGCCCCGAGAGCCTGCCATTTCCGTCCTGCCCTGGAGGCCAAGGTGGAAAGGAGGCCCGAGAGCGTTTCCAGAGCGTGTTTGTCCAACAGCCCCTCCCAGGGGCCAGCCAACCCAGAATGGCATTTTCCGCCCTTTGTTTGGGCTGTATTCTCCCATCTCTCTTCTCCATGGGTCATATCCTCTCTTTATGGGGGAATGCTCCTGGGACCCTCCGGCCACTTCCTCCCAGGACACCGCTGCTCCCACCATTCGCATCCTCTGGGTCCCAGGGAGGGCCGTGTGGTCCTCCCTTCGCGTGGCCAGTCAACAGGAACTGGCTGGCACGCAACTGCGAAGAGCCATGGAGATGAGCTGGACCGACGGTGAGTCCTGCGAATCTCCCAGGAATCACGTCTTCCAGGAGCCTCTCCAAGGGGAGAGGGTGCTGGTGGGGAGAGAACGCCAGGGAGCGCGGAGGCAGAGCGCGGGGAGGCTGGTACACCCCTCCAGATGGAGCCTGTGGAGCAGGAGAGGAGGGAGGGAGCACCGAAGGGAGGCAGAGTGGACAGGCTTGAGGCCTTGCTCATTGTGGGGGACGAAGAGGGCCCAGGACCGTGGTCGGCAAACTGCGGCTCGAGAGCCACATGCGGCTCTTTGGCCCCTTGAGTGTGGCTCTTCCACAAAATACCACGTGCGGGCGGCCGTGCACAGTGGGGTGAGAGAAAGGGGTCTCCTGGGAAGCTGATCCTTTTATATTTATGAATTGAACCCACTGTACACTTAAGGTTCCTGTGACTGATATCGGTTATACCTCATAAAAAAGTCAGGAAAAAAGTGGAGGGAGATCAAAGTGCCGAAGGGAATGGGAGCCCAGCATAAGGCCAGAGGCCATGTTCCCGTCTCTGCATCATCCATCCATCCATTACCCACTCATCCATCAGTCTGTTCATGCACCCATCCATCCAGCTAGCCAGCCAGCCAGCAGGCCTTCCGCCAGTCCGTCCATCCATCCATCCTCAGTCCCTCCTGTGAGGTGTCATCAGCTGGCTCTTGGGCCCTGAGAAGGTCTTGGGAATGCTCTCCAGCCATTTGTTCTGCCCTCCATTAAAACCCCAGGGCACAGCCAAAGGCCGGAGTGGGCAGGTGTGGCTCCCGGGCTCCTCCACGTGGTGCCCACTCCTGCTACAGTTATGATCAGACCGCTAAGAACTGTCCCTAAATATGGGAGGCCCTCCCTACAGGCAACTCACAGAGCAGAGATGAGGGATGTCCCTCTGTCCCTAACCAAGCAAGGCTCATCACCATCTCAGGCCACAGCTCTGCCCAGCGTCTCCTAATGACTCGGGGACCCCCCAGAGTGACCACTGAACTCTAGTATGACCATACTAGTTATTCTCTTGAACACTGCACCGCCTCATGTCCCTGCACCTTCCTGCGGCCGGAAGGCCCTTCCCTCCCTTCCTTACCTGCTACTTATATCCTGCTCACCCTCTAAGGCCCAGCTGAGTGCCACCTCCTCCAGGCAGCCTTCCTTGAGCTCTCCGAATGAGCTAAGTGCCCATTCTCTGTGTCCCCACAGTAGCTTGCTGTGCCCACTTCCACCCTGTCTCCTGAAATTACCTTTCATGTGTTGTCTCCCCTGTGGATCCTGAGTTCCCTGCCCAGGGGCCAGGTCTGACCCCTCATTGTCACCCAGAGCAGGCCTGGGCCTGACCCAGAGGGAGGGCTCAACAAACATATGCTTGCACTTTTGCTTTTAAAATGTTCCTTTTTGTCTTCGCTATAAGGGTGGTGCATTATTAATACATTTATGAAGGACTGGGTGGGAACTCGGAAGGAGAATTTTCCATCCCCGGCTTAAGCGTTGAGCTGTGTGACTGCGTTTGGCTCATTCTGCTGTGTGAATCAGGGATCATGTGTGAGGCAGCCCCCTGAGTGGGTTTTTTTTTTCCAATTAAGATCCAGGAAGTGCGAAGAAAGCACAGAAGGCCCTCTGGGTCCATCTAGTCAGACCATTTCCCCAGAAATTATCTCTTCTGCTGCGAGCCCTGCTTCTCCCTCCCCTCCCGCATGGCAGCCTGGCATTACCAGGAACTGGTGCCCTTACAGGACCTGGGCAACTTGTGAGCCATGCTGAGAAGAGCCCAGAGTACAGTCAGAGGCCCGGACCCAGACCGCAGCTCTGCCTCTTCGCTGGTGGTGCTGGGCAAGCCACTCCCCTCTTGGGGCCTCAGCTCCCTCGTTTGTAAAACAGAGACACCACCAATCCAGGGAGGTGCTGGAGAGACGGGGTGGGGCATTGGGGCAGGAGGGAGAGACAGAGGGAGAGACCGGCAGAAGGAAAAGGGGATTGGAACGGGTACAAGACAATGTTTATAGGAAGAAAAGAGGCAGCAGCAAGGGGCTCTGGCTCCTGGGATGAGACGCCCTCCTCTACTCCAGCGCACCCCCTGCCCACGCCCCCCACCTCATGAGCAGCCTCCCCACTGAGCACTGAGCTGGTCCCCACCTCCCAGCTTTTGGTTCCCGCCTTGCCTCCTTTCCGAACGCCTCCCCTTCTCCTGGGTTTATTCCTTCCAACCTCCAGCCCCCAGGGTCCTCTTCCTGCCTTAGTCCTCCCACCTTCACTCTGGGTGGGCTAATGGTCCCTGCCCACCTGAGGTTGTAGTGCCCCTGGATGGTGAACTCCTTGGAAGGGGACCATAAGGCGCCCGCAGCTGCAGGCAGGCACACCTCGTTTTATTGCGCCCCACCTTACTGCACTTCACAGGTATTGTGCTTAAAAGAAACAACACAGCCATTAACATCAAGGCAAGACCCTCCACCAGCAAAAGAGTGCGCCTCACTTTATGGCGACACTGGCTTTATTGCGGTGGTCTGGAACCCAGCCCGCAATACCTCAGGTCTGCCTGTATATTCAGTTCTTCCAACAATGCTGCTGGCCCCCAATTTACAGACAAAGGAAACGAGGCTCAGACAGGTTAAGCAACTTGCCTAAAGTCAAACTAGAAGGAAAACGGGCATTGATATCAAGTCTTCCTTAATAATTTAGGATCATGAGTAGGTCAAAGGTCACCCAATCCAGTCCAGCTGGGACACCTTTGCTTCTAGGTAGGCTCTGCCTCTGGCTGTTGACGGGCTGTGGCTTAGGCTCGGACAACAGGCCTACTCCTCACCCAGGGAAGAGGGGTTCCCATGGGGGGTGCGGGGGACAGTGGGGGCCTGTTACCTTAGCGACGGAGGGCAGCGCCTCGGTCCAGTGCTGCTCCCCAGGGGCATGGGAGGGCCGGGCTGCCTTCCTCAGGTAACGTCCATGGACCTCGCAGGAGTTCAGGATGTACAGAGCACAGGCCAAGGCGTAGCCTCCCCAGTTAGAAACGCCTGGAACAAAATGAGATTTCAACACGGAACTGGTGATGCGTCCATGGTCCCTCACCTTCCTCTAAGCATCGGAACTCGTCTCAAGAATGATCCCAAGACCCGAGGCACCTGGAACTTGTTGGAAACACAAATTCTTAGGCCAGTGGTTCTCAACCTTGGCTGCACATTAGAATCACCTGGGAATCTTTTTAAAATCCTGATTTCTGGGCCTCATCCTCCAGATATTCTGTTTCTTTGTTATGGGGTGGGGCCACA